TAACTACAAGTATAACTGATTATGTTACAGGTACAATAACGTGTGCGTATGTTGCTATGACTACAGGTATAACTGATTATGTTACAGGTACTGTGACGTGTGCGTATGTTGCTATGACAACAGGTATAACTGATTATGTTACAGGTACAGTTACGTGTGCGTATGTTGCTTTAACTACAGGTATAACTGATTATTTTACAGGTACTGTGACGTGTGCGTATATTGCTATGACTACATGTATAACTGATTATGTTACAGGTACAGTAATGTGTGCGTATGTTGCTATGACTACAGGTATAACTGATTATGTTTTAGGTACAGTAACGTGTGCGTATGTTGCTATAACTACAGGTATAACTGATTATGTTACAGGTACAGTAATGTGTGCGTATGTTGCTATAACTACAGGTTTAACTGATTATGTTATAGGTACTGTTATGTGTGCGTATGTTGCTATAACTACAAGTATAACTGATTATGTTACAGGTACAATAACGTGTGCGTATGTTGCTATGACTACAGGTATAGCTGATTATGTGACAGGTACTGTGACGTGTGCGTATGTTGCTATGACTACAGGTATAACTGATTATGTTACAGGTACAGTAACGTGTGCGTATGTTGCTATAACTACAGGTATAACTGATTATTTTACAGGTACTGTGACGTTTGCGTATATTGCTATGACTAGAGGTATTAATGTTTATGTTATAGGTACTGTAATGTGTGCCTATTTTCCTATAACTGCAGGTATAACTGATAATGTTATAGGTACTTTAATGTGTGCGCATGTTGCTATGACTACAGGCATAACTGATTATGTTACGAGTACATGTGACGTGTGCGTATGTTGCTGTGACTACAGGTATAACTGATTATGTCACAGGTACTGTAATGTGTGCGTATGTTGATATAACTACAGGTATAACTGATAATGTAACATGTACAGTAACGTGTTCGTATATTGCTATGACTACAGGTATTACTGTTTATGTCACCGGTACTGTAATGTGTGCGTATGTTGCTTTAACTACAAGTATAACTGATTATGTTACGAGTACATGTGGCGTGTGCGTATGTTGCTGTGACTACAGGTATAACTGATTATGTCACAGGTACTGTAATGTGTGCGTATGTTGCTATAAATACAGGTATAACTGATAATGTTACAGGTACTGTAATGTGTGCGTATGTTGATATAACTACAGGTATAACTGATAATGTAACATGTACAGTAACGTGTTCGTATATTGCTATGACTACAGGTATTACTGTTTATGTCACCGGTACTGTAATGTGTGCGTATGTTGCTTTAACTACAAGTATAACTGATTATGTTACGAGTACATGTGATGTGTGCGTATGTTGCTATGACTACAGGTATAACTGATTTTTGTTACAGGTACTGTAACGTGTGCGTATGTTGCTATAACTACAGGAATAACTGATTATGTTACAGGTAAGGTGACGTGTGCGTTTGTTGATATGACTACAAGTATAACTGATTATGTTATAGATACTGTAATGTGTGCGTATGTTGCGTATGTTGCTATAACTACAGGTATAACTTATAATGTTACAGGTACAGTAATGTGTGCGTATGTTGCTATAACTACAGGTATAACTGATTATGTTACAGCTACATGTGACGTGTGCGTATGTTGCTATGAATACAGGTATAACTGATTTTTGTTACAGGTACTGTAACGTGTGCGTATGTTGCTATGACTACAGGTATTACTGTTTATGTCACCGGTACTGTAATGTGTGCGTATGTTGCTTTAACTACAAGTATAACTGATTATGTTACGAGTACATGTGATGTGTGCGTATGTTGCTATGACTACAAGTATAACTGATTATGTTATAGATACTGGTATGTTGCTATAACTACAGGTATAACTTATAATGTTACAGGTACAGTAATGTGTGCGTATGTTGCTATGACTACAGGTATAGCTGATTATGTGACAGGTACTGTGACGTGTGCGTATGTTGCTATGACTACAGGTATTACTGTTTATGTCACCGGTACTGTAATGTGTGCGTATGTTGCTTTAACTACAAGTATAACTGATTATGTTACAGGGTATGTTGCTTTAACTACAAGTATAACTGATTATGTTACGAGTACATGTGACGTGTGCGTATGTTGCTGTGACTACAGGTATAACTGATTATGTAATAGCTACTGTAATGTGTGCGTATGTTGCTATGACTACAGGTATAACTGATTATGTCACAGGTACTGTAATGTGTGCGTATGTTGCTTTAACTACAAGTATAACTGATTATGTTACAGGTACAGTAATGTGTGCGTATGTTGCTATAACTACAGGTATAACTGATTATGTTACGAGTACATGTGATGTGTGCGTATGTTGCTATGACTACAAGTATAACTGATTATATTATAGATACTGTAATGTGTGCGTATGTTGATATAACTACAGGTATAACTGATAATGTTACAGGTACAGTAACGTGTGCGTATGTTGCTATAACTACAGGTATATCTGATTATGTTACAGGTAAGGTGACGTGTGCGTTTGTTGATATGACTACAAGTATAACTGATTATGTTACAGGGTATGTTGCTTTAACTACAAGTATAACTGATTATGTTACGAGTACATGTGATGTGTGCGTATGTTGCTATGACTACAAGTATAACTGATTATGTTATAGATACTGTAATGTGTGCGTATGTTGATATAACTACAGGTATAACTGATAATGTTACAGGTACTGTAATGTGTGCGTATGTTGCTATAACTACAGGTATAACTGATTATGTTACAGGTAAGGTGACGTGTGCGTTTGTTGCTATGACTACAAGTATAACTGATTATGTTATAGATACTGTAATGTGTGCGTATGTTGCTATAACTACAGGTATAACTGATAATGTTACAGGTACAGTAATGTGTGTGTATGTTGCTATAACTACAGGTATAACTGATTATGTTACAGGTACGGTGACGTGTGCGTTTGTTGCTATGACTACAAGTATAACTGATTATGTTATAGATACTGGTATGTTGCTATAACTACAGGTATAACTGATTATGTTACAGGTACAGTAACTTGTGCGTATGTTGCTATGGCTACAGGTATAACTGATTTTTGTTACAGGTACTGTGACGTGTGCGTATGTTGCTATAACTACAGGTATAACTGATTATGGTACAGGTACATGTGACGTGTGCGTATGTTGCTATGACTACAGGTATAACTGATTATGTTACAGGTACAGTAACTTGTGCGTATGTTGCTATGACTACAGGTAGAACTGATTATGTTACAGGTACAGTAACGTGTGCGTATGTTGCTATAACTACAGGTATAACTGATTATGTTACAGGTACAGTAACGTGTGCGTATGTTGCTATGACTACAGGTATAACTGATTATGTTACAGGTACAGTAACGTGTGCGTATGTTGCTATAACTACAGGTATAACTGATTATGTTACGAGTACATGTGACGTGTGCGTATGTTGCTATGACTACAAGTATAACTGATTATGTTATAGGAACAGTAACGTGTGCGTATGTTGCTATAACTTCAGGTATAACTGATTATGTTACGAGTACATGTGACGTGTGCGTATGTTGCTATGACTACAAGTATAACTGATTTTGTTATAGGTACAGTAACGTGTGCGTATGTTGCTATAACTACAGGTATAACTGATTATGTTACTGGTACAGTAACGTGGGCGTATGTTGCTATAACTACAGGTATAACTGATTATGTTACAGGTACTGTAATATGTGCGTTTGTTGCTATAACTACAGGTATAAATGATTTTGTTTCAGGTACAGTAAAGTGTTGGAGCAGAAGGAGGAGCTGGAACAGAAACACTTACACCTGTTACAGATCCTGGACAGTGAGCGGCAGGCTAAATGGCACTACGTTCAGCAGACAGAAGAACTCGCCCAGGATGTCAAGAAACTCCGAACAGAGGTAATATACTCACATACAAAGATACACAATATATAGAGGTAATCAGAATCCTTCAGAAATGATAATGTTAACATAACATCAATTACAACGGAGGTGTGCCATTTTGGGACTCCTGGTGGCTATCACCGATAAGTTGTATTATTTGTATATGATATGACATGAAATTAAGGTCAGCTTGGAGACCATTCCAAGATATAATGGGGTTAATTGGGGGACGAAAATCACAAATGGACGCTTTTTCTTACAAAACCACATGTTATTTTTTAACATTTCTTCAACATTTTGGTGTATTGCGTAACACTAAAACAGCACATATCAAAAATGGCCGAAAAGAGCACATGGTTGATAAGTAGGTCACTGTGACCTTGTGATATATTGGCTTAACTATGTCAACAATTCTTCCTTTTTTGTGCCTAAATACATATAAGAACCATACAATACTCTCACCAAATTATATCAATAAGTACAATTTGGTAAGATTATTGTATGGTTCTAATTTTAACGCCCTCATATCTTGGAATAGTCTCCAAGCTGACGTTAATTTCATGTCATATCATGATGGTACAACCCCAAGGTATGTTGATAGCCACCAGAAGGCCCAAATTGGCACTCCTCCTTCGATAACAATTAATTATAAAAATTACAATAATATACAATCGTTAAGTTCACCAGAACGGATGAGATAACAGTAGTATATGACTATCAACCTCTGCTGATGTTGGGACAATGATTTAGAGGAAGTTATATTGGTAACATCACTTCCAGGTACTTACCAGCCAGACTCTGTCAACAGCTGTCTATATGCTGACACTCCATACAGACAATGTTACTTATCATTTTATTCTTTCAATACATTGATCATTCTAAGAATCGAAACATGAGCCAGGACTGTTATGAAATTTGTTTGTTACCATTTTTTACAAAAGAGCTACATGTTTGTTTTGTGGTGACAGTTCCCTACATGTTTGTTTTGTAGCGACAGTTCCCTAAGTGTTTGTTTTTTAGTGACAGTTCCCTACATGTTTGTTTTGTGGTGACAGTTCCCTACATGTTTATTTTGTGGTAACAGTTCTCTACATGTTTGTTTTGTAGTGACAGTTCCCTACATGTTTGTTTTGTGGTGACAATTCCCTACATGTTTGTTTTGTGGTGACAGTTCCCTACATGTTTATTTTGTAGTGACAGTTCCACACATGTTTGTTTTGTGGTAACAGTTCTCTACATGTTTGTTTTGTGGTAGCACATCCCTCCATGTTTGTTTTGTGGTAACACATCCCTACATGTTTGTATTGTGGTAACACATCCCTACATGTTTGTTTTGTGGTAACACATCCCCACATGTTTGTTTTGTGGTGACAGTTCCCTACATGTTTGTTGTGTGATGACAGTTCCCTGCATGTTTGTTTTGTAGTGACAGTTCCCCACATGTTTGTTTTGTGGTAACAGTTCTCTACATGTTTGTTTTGTAGTGACAGTTCCCTAAGTGTTTGTTTTTAAGTGACAGTTCCCTACATGTTTGTTTTGTGGTGACAGTTCCCTACATGTTTGTTTTGTAGTGACAGTTTCCCACATGTTTGTTTTGTGGTGACAGTTCCCTACATGTTTGTTGTGTGATAACAGTTCCCTGCATGTTTGTTTTGTAGTGACAGTTCCCTACATGTTTGTTTTTTAGTGACAGCTCCCTACATGTTTGTTTTGTAGTCACAGTTCCCTACATGTTTGTTTTTTAGTGACAGCTCCCTGCATGTTTGTTTTGTAGTGAAAGTTCCCTACATATCACAGACGATATGAGATGTCTGGCACATGAAACCTAATCTTACATATCACAGACGATATTAGGTGTCTGGCACATACAACCTTATCTGTCTGTGAAATGTAAGATTAGGTTGTATGTGCCAGACACCTAATATCGTCTGTGATATGTAAGGTTAGGTTGTATGTGCCAGACACCTAATATCGTCTGTGATATGTAAGATTAGGTTTTATGTGCAAGACACCTAATATCGTCTGTGATATGTAAGATTAGGTTGTATGTGCCAGACACCTAATATCGTCTGAGATATGTAAGATTAGGTTGTATGTGCCAGACACCTAATATCGTCTGTGATATGTAAGATTAGGTTGTATGTGCCAGACACCTAATATCGTCTGTGATATGTAAGATTAGGTTGTATGTGCCAGACACCTAATATCGTCTGTGATATGTAAGATTAGGTTGTATGTGCCAGACACCTAATATCGTCTGTGATATGTAAGATTAGGTTGTATGTGCCAGACACCTAATATCGTCTGTGATATGTAAGATTAGGTTGTATGTGCCAGACACCTAATATCGTCTGTGATATGTAAGATTAGGTTGTATGTGCCAGACACCTAATATCGTCTGTGATATGTAAGATTAGGTTGTATGTGCCAGACACCTAATATCGTCTGTGATATGTAAGATTAGGTTGTATGTGCCAGACACCTAATATCGTCTGTGATATGTAAGATTAGGTTGTATGTGCCAGACACCTAATATCGTCTGTGATATGTAAGATTAGGGTTTATGTGCCACTAATATCGTCTGTGGTATATAAGATTAGGCTGTCTGTGCCAGACACCTAATATAGTCTGTGATATGTAAGAGTAGGGTTTATGTGCCAGACACCTAATATCGTCTGTGATATGTAAGATTAGGGTACACAGGACATCACTGACTACTACAAATAGTTGACTAAGTTCATGGTTAAATGTTTAGAAAGAGAACGGGGTCTGATAACTAAATAAGAGAGTTCTGTAGCTTCAAAACATGACAGTCTGACAAGGCAGCCATTTTGCTGTCTATTTTATTAAATTTCTCCATCTCTTTGTCTGTAAACCTTCAAGACTTTTAAAAATTTGACGAGTCTGGCTTGAGCAAAATGGCTGCCTTTGAGCAGCATAAGTGGGTTGAGTACTCAGATGTCAGGTTTACTGTTTATCTCATGTATCTAATTTGTATAAGAACATCTCGGCTTGTTTATTAAATCAAACTTAACTAAATTTTGGGATTAAAGTTTTGATTTTTCACTTTGATTTTTTTTTTACTGAAAATTTGATGTACACAGCTCTCATCTTAAAACTGTTATCTTGTTACTGTTGATTTGTAACTGTCATGAATTTAGTAACCATGGATACAGCAACCATGGATTTAGTAATCATAGTTACAGCAACCCTGGATTTAGTAATCATAGATACAGCAACCATGGATTTAGTAATCATAGTTACAGTATAACGATGTATTTAGTAACCATGGATACAGCAACCATGGATTTAGTAGTAATAGTTACAGCAACCATGGATTTAGTAATCATAGTTACAGCAACCATGGATTTAGTAATCATAGTTACAGCAACCCTGGATTTAGTAATCATGAATAAAGCAACCATGGATTTAGTTATCATAGTTACAACTACCATGGATTTAGTAGCCATAGATACATTAACCATGGATTTAGTAATCATAGTTACGGCAATTATGGATCGAGTAATCATAGTTACAGTAACCATTGATTTAGTAATCATAGTTACAGCAACCATGGATTAAGAAATCACAGTTACAGCAACCCTGGATTTAGTAATTATGGATAAAACAACCATGGATTTAGTAATCATAGTTACAGCAACCATGGATTTAGTAGCCATAGATACATTAACCATGGATTTAGTAATCATAGTTACGGCTATTATGGATCGAGTAATCATAGTTACAGTAACCATTGATTTAGTAATCATAGTTACAGCAACCCTGGATTTAGTTATCATATTAACAGCAACCATGGATTTGGAAATCAGTCATAGTTACAACAACCATGGATTTAGTAATCACAGTTACAGCAACCATATGTTTAGTAGCCATAGATACAGCAATCATGGATTAAGTAATCATAGTTACAGTAGCCATGGATTTAGAAATCATATATAGTTACAGCAACCACGGACTAATTAATCATAATAACAGTAACCATAGATTTAGTAATCACAGTTACAATGTACAATAATCATGGATTTAGTTGCCATAGATACAGCAATCATGGATTTAGTAATTACAGTAACAGCAACCATAGATTTAGAAATCATATATAGCTACAGCAACCACGGACTAATTAATCATAATAACAGTAACCATAGATTTAGTAATCGCAGTTACAATAATCATGGATTTAGTTGCCATAGATACAGCAATCATAGATTTAGTAATTACAGTAACAGCAACCATAGATTTAGAAATCATATATAGTAACAGCAACCAAGGACTAATTAATCATAGTAACAGTAACCATAGATTTAGTAATCACATTTACAGCAACCCTGGATTTAGTAATCATGGATAAAGCAACCATGGATTTAGTAATCATAGTTACAATAATCATGGATGTGGTTGCCATTGATACCGCAATCATGGATTTAGAAATTACAGTTACAGCAACCATAGATTTAGAAATCATTCATATATAGTTACAGCAACCACGGACTAATTAATCATATAAACAGTAACCATAGATTTAGTAATCACAGTTACAGCAACCCTGGATTAAGTAATCATGGATAAAGCAACCATGGATTTAGTAATCATAGTTACAGCAGCCATGGATTTAGTAGCCATAGATATATTAACCATGGATTTAGTAATCATAGTTACGGCAATTATGGATCGAGTAATCATAGTTACAGTAACCCTGGATTTAGTAATCATATTGACAGCAACCATGGATTTGGAAATCAGTCATAGTGACAACAACCATGGATTTGGAAATCAGTCATAGTGACAACAACCATGGATTTATTAATCACTTTTACAGCAACTATAGATTAACTCATTATAGTTACAACAACCATGTATTTAGTAATCATAGTTACAGCAACCATGGGTTTAGTAAAATCACAGTTACAGCAATCATGGATTTAGTAGCCATAGATACAGCAATCATAGATTAAGTAATTACAGTTACAGGAACCATATATTTAGTCTTTATAGTTACAGTAACCATAGATTTAGTAATCATAGTAACAGCATCCATGGATTTAGTAATCATAGTAACAGTAGCCATGGATTTAGTAATCATAGTAACAGTAGCCATGGATTTAAAAATCGCAGTTACAATAATCATGGATTTTGTTGCCATAGATACAGCAATCATGGATTTAGTAATTACAGTAACAGCAACCATAGATTTAGAAATCATAGTTACAGGAACCACGGATTAATTAATCATAGTTACAGTAACCATAGATTTAGTAATCACAGTTACAGCAGTTATGGATTTAGTCTTCATAGTAACAGTAACCATATATTTAGTAATAATAGTTACAGCAACCATGGATTTCATAATCACAGTTACAGTAACCATGGATTAAGTAATCACAGTTACAGCAATCATGGATGTAGTAATCATATTTACAGCAACCATCGATTAAGAAACCATAGTTTCACTTACCATGGATTTGGAAATCATTATTACAGTAACCATGCTTTTAGTTATCACATTTACAAAAACCATGGATTTAGTAATCATAGTTACAGTAACCATGGATTTAGTAATCACAGTTACAACAACCATGGATTTGATTGTCATACATACAGTAATCATGGATTTAGTAATCACAGTTACCGCAACCATGGATTTCATTATCATAGATACGGTAAACCAAGGATCATAGATGCATCAATCAAAAATACTGCAATTATAGATACAGCAACTATGGATGCTGTAATTATCGAAATAGTAACCATGAAAATGCCAAACTAAAATGTCGACCATGAGTCAAAAGTTCGTTTGAAATATCGAAACATTTCAACCATGTTGACTTTTCAGTATGTAACAAAATCATGAAAAATAGCCATTGCTTGAGATGTAGGAAATGTTTACCAGGTAGGTGTTTGTTTGATGGAGAGAATGTCTCTGTACCCTGTTTGTTTGATGGAGAGAATGTCTCTGTACCCTGTTTGTTTGTAGTTTAAGGAGATAAAACAAGATTATTATTGTCATGTGAGAAGACCCAATGGAGGTCACGGAGTACATTTCAATGGTTGATTACCTCATCAATTAGCGCCCCAGCTATTGCCGCATGACATGGAACTTTCCCGAAAATAACATTAATAGGCCCAGATCTCTAAACCGATAGGCATGTTAATGTTAAAAAATCACTTATAATTTGAAATGAGATGTTTTCACCAGAATGTCTGTTAGGGTCCCAAATTAAATAAGTGATAAAAAGCATTGTGCTAAAGCGTTTAGGTGGGTTAGTTAGTCTTGCACAGTAAAACACAGCTATCTTGTCAAGTAATCGACCCAGAATTAAGGATTATATGTCAGAATTCAAGAGACAATCACAGATGTTTTTTTTGTTATTTCCATAATATTCTCTGGGAGAAACCTGAACCTTCTCTATTATCTGAATTTTTTTGGATCATATAGTTTTCATATGCATCTGGAAACCAGCAACCCTTTTACACTGAAATTGGTGAAATATAACCTTGATTTTTTCTAATTTTCTGAAGTTCATAAATTAATTGTATTGTGATTAATGATTTTTTTTAACAGTTGGCAAAATTCAAAAAGGATCGCGTGGCTGAAGAAAACCAAGATGAAGAGACTGACGAGCTGAAGAAAATTAAGAAAGTAGGTCAACCAAATAACTCACAGGAATTAAAAAAGCTATCTTTCCGTGCTGTGTAGAGTTGAGCCTCGTTAAGACCAGCCACTAATTATTCAGTTGTCCCATTATACAGCCAGCAGTGTTTTAGGGCATCTACTTGCCTATCTTTATTCAGTAATCTAGCCATTTCACACTGGGGCCAGGGGCTAGATTAACGAGGCTTGACTTCAGATTGAACAAGTCTATTGTAACTGATTGTTCTGGATGAAGAAATGTACATTTTATTGATTGAAGTAAACAGGAATATAGGTCACAAGGTTCAATGCAATTACTTATAGATGTTACCGCGGATACCAACAGGTACATACAAATATTCACATATTTTCACTCAAAATATGTACGTCTGAAAATATTGCTTTGGATTTCCATATGACGGACGTGAAGCAATTAGCCTGTTGGATACGTTTCTGTTAGCAACTTAAAGGCAGATATATTTATTCATGATCAAATCACAAAATTTATGTTCAATTTATAGTGAAAGATAGGTTTTAATTTTGCTTTATGATCTGCCCAATCAATACATCACATGTGTTGTGCTGGATACATGAAGAATTGGTCATGTTATTAAAAGTCATTAATAGTTTTGGTATACATGTATATTCAATATAAGTTATTAAGCCTCTTAAGTTTAAACTCATCTTTTTAGCACTGCCTCCAGAAACAATGTTATTAAGTACAAAACAAACTGGCCTTAAGGTAATAGGATTGTGTCACCATTTCTCAGTAGAATTTCTTCAAATTTTGTAGTTATATTGCTTTGAAGTAAAGAAAATGTTCTGCCACAAACAAACAAAATATATGGAATTTTAAGGATTTTAAATGGAAATTTATGTGAAAAGGAGTGAATTTATGAAAAAAAAATGAGAGACACAATTTTAACCAAATTGCTGATTTTATACTGAAAATGCTGTTTTTATACTGACAATGCTGTCTTTATAATGACAATGCTGTTGTAAATACAAGAAATGCTGATTTACATACAAGGTACAGTATTATAGCTACTTTGTTATAAATATTGGACTTACTGTTCATAATACTTTAACAAACAAATATGTAGATGTCGTATCTGTATCAGGTTTTCAACAGCCAGAAAATGTAAAATTCATGGCATCAGTTATTAGCTCACATGCTCTAAGGGCTTATGCCATGGCGCGGCGTCTGTCGTCCGTCCGTCCGTCTTCGTCGTCCGTCAACTTTTCCTTTGAACGACTTCTTCTGAAGAATGAACAGACCTAGATTCATGATATTTTGATGAAAGCCTCGTTGGTAGGAGCCCAACAAAGTTTGTTAACGAACATGACCTTGACCTACTTTCAAGGTTACAGGGGTCAAAGGTGTCAAATACTTAAAAACGACTTCTCCTGCAGAACTGAAAGGTATAGAATCTTAATATGTGGATGGTAGCTTTGTTGGTGAGAGCCCAACAAAGTTTGAGAACGAAAATGACCTTGATCTACTATCAAGGTCACAGGGGTCAAAAGTGTCAAATACTCTAAAAGACTTCTTCTGAAGAACTGAAAGGTATAGAATCTTAATATGTGGCTGGTAGCTTCGTTGGTATGAGTCGAACAAAGATTTTGAACGAAAATAACCTTTACCTACTTCCAAGGTCACAGGGGTCAAAAGTGTGAAATACTTAAAACGATTTCTTCTGAAGAACTGAAAGGTATAGAATCTTAATATGTGGCTGGTAGTTTTGTTGGTAAGAGCCCAACTAAGTTTGAGAACGAAGATGACCTTGACCTACTTTCAAGGTCACAGAGGTTAAAAGTGTAAAATACTCTAAAAGACTTCTTCTGAAGAACTGAAAGGTATATAATCTTAATATGTGCTGGTAGCTTTTTTGGATAGAGCCCGGCAAAGTTTGAACACAAATGTCAAATACTTAAAACCACTTCTGAAGAACGAATGATTCCGAATCTTAATATGTGGCTGGTGGTTTCTTGGGATCGAACCCGACAAAGTTTGCGAATAAAAATGGCCTTGACCTACTCTCAAGGTAAAAGGGGTCAAATATGTCAAACACTTAAAATTACTTCTTCTGAGGAACATTGTCACAAACTACAAACAGCTTCTTTTGAAGACGTGAAAGGCAAGGAGTCGTGATATTTAACAACTAGCTTCCGTAGATGGAGCCCAACAAAGTTTGTGAATGAAAATGACCTATACCTACTTTAACCTAAAGCTTTATCATAATCTTATTTGATATATTAGGCAAAACATGTTTTTTGCTATGACTAATTTAATATCCAGGTGAGCGATACAGGCTTTATTGTCCTCTTATTAACATTAAAGTTGATTTTTCCTTCAATCTATTAACGATTTGGCATAAACAACTCATGCTGGAAAGGAACCCGATGTTTGGATACAAACTTAACCTAAAATCACAAACACATTGAGATTGACAGTGTCTTACATGATGTTATCACATCGACAGAGTCTTACATAATGACACATTGACTGTTTCTTACATGATGTTAACCCATTGACAGTGTCTTACCTGATGTTAACACATTGAAAGTGTCTTACATGATGTTATCACATAGACAGTGTCTTACATAATTACACATCGACTGTTTCTTATATGATGTTAACACATTGAAAGTGTCTTACATGATGTTATCATATCGACAGTGTCTTACATATTGACACATCGACTGTTTCTTATATGATGTTAACACATTGACAGGGTCTTACATGATGTTAACCCATTGACAGTGTCTTACCTGATGTTAACACATTGACAGTGTCTTACATGATGTTAACACATTGACAGTATCTTACAGGATGTTATCACATCGACAGTGTCTTACATAATGACACATCGACTGTTTCTTACATGATGTTAACACATTGACAGTGTCTTACATGATGTTAACACATTGACAGTGTCTTACATTTTGTTCACACATTGACAGTGTCTTACATGATGTTAACACATTGACAGTGTCTTACATGATGTTAACACATTGACAGTGTCTTACATGATGTTAACACATTGACAGTGTCTTACATGATGTTAACACATTGACAGTGTCTTACATGATGTTAACACATTGACAGTGTCTTACATGATGTTAACACATTGACAGTGTCTTACATGATGTTAACACATTGACAGTGTCTTACATGATGTTAACACATTGACAGTGTCTTACATGATGTTAACACATTGACAGTGTCTTACATGATGTTAACACATTGACAGTGTCTTACATGATGTTAACACATTGACAGTGTCTTACATGATGTTAACACATTGACAGTGTCTTACATGATGTTAACACATTGACAGTGTCTTACATGATGTTAACACATTGACAGTGTCTTACATGATGTTAACACATTGACAGTGTCTTACATGATGTTAACACATTGACAGTGTCTTACATGATGTTAACACATTGACAGTGTCTTACATGATGTTAACACATTGACAGTGTCTTACATGATGTTAACACATTGACAGTGTCTTACATGATGTTAACACATTGACAGTGTCTTACATGATGTTAACACATTGACAGTGTCTTACATGATGTTAACACATTGACAGTGTCTTACATGATGTTAACACATTGACAGTGTCTTACATGATGTTAACACATTGACAGTGTCTTACATGATGTTAACACATTGACAGTGTCTTACATGATGTTAACACATTGACAGTGTCTTACATGATGTTAACACATTGACAGTGTCTTACATGATGTTAACACATTGACAGTGTCTTACATGATGTTAACACATTGACAGTGTCTTACATGATGTTAACACATTGACAGTGTCTTACATGATGTTAACACATTGACAGTGTCTTACATGATGTTAACACATTGACAGTGTCTTACATGATGTTAACACATTGACAGTGTCTTACATGATGTTAACACATTGACAGTGTCTTACATGATGTTAACACATTGACAGTGTCTTACATGATGTTAACACATTGACAGTGTCTTACATGATGTTAACACATTGACAGTGTCTTACATGATGTTAACACATTGACAGTGTCTTACATGATGTTAACACATTGACAGTGTCTTACATGATGTTAACACATTGACAGTGTCTTACATGATGTTAACACATTGACAGTGTCTTACATGATGTTAACACATTGACAGTGTCTTACATGATGTTAACACATTGACAGTGTCTTACATGATGTTAACACATTGACAGTGTCTTACATGATGTTAACACATTGACAGTGTCTTACATGATGTTAACACATTGACAGTGTCTTACATGATGTTAACACATTGACAGTGTCTTACATGATGTTAACACATTGACAGTGTCTTACATGATGTTAACACATTGACAGTGTCTTACATGATGTTAACACATTGACAGTGTCTTACATGATGTTAACACATTGACAGTGTCTTACATGATGTTAGCACATTTACAGTGTCTTACATGACGTTAACACATTGACAGTGTATTACATGACGTTAACACATTGACAGTGTATTACATGATGTTAACACATTGACGCTAACGTACAGGATGTTAATTAATACATTGAAATTGACGCTAACGTACAGGATGTTAATTAATACATTGAAATTGACGCTAACGTACAGGATGTTAATTTATACATTGAAATTGACGCTAGCTTACAGGATGTTAATACATTGAAATTGACGCTAACGTACAGGATGTTAATACATTGAAATTGACGCTAACGTACAGGATGTTAATTAATACATTGAAATTGACGCTAACTTACAGGATGTTAATTTATACATTGAAATTGACGCTAACTTACAGGATGTTAATACATTGAAATTGACGCTAACTCACAGGATGTTAATACATTGAAATTGATTATGGATAGCATAATGTTAACACTTTGAGATTGATTATCACTTGTAGTCTGTTATTTGGATTGACCTGCACGTGCACGTTAACAGACGACTATACTCTTTTAGAGAAATGGTATAAGGGCAATAACTCTAGGTGAGGCTGCAGTAGCTGTTGATTTTCTATGATTCCAAAAAGATATCTAACTGTTTAATTTTTAATATTAATAGCTTTAAATTTATGAGGTATGTTGTGATTTGTAATATATGAAATCATGTCATTGCAGTATTGTATAATTATTGATGATTTAATTTTATGATTTATTATGTTGTGATATTGAGTCTCCAGAATAAATACTGTAGTTTTTCTGAGAACAAACTCAATCTTGATTCGTATGTCTGTAATTACAGGTGCAGAGTTTCTTCCGAGGCTGGTTGTGTCGACGGCGTTGGAAGCAGATTGTGGAGCTGTACATACGATCCCCTCATGCAGAGAGTATGCGCAAACGTAACAGTATTGTGTTCAACATGGTGGAATGTGAAGAAGAGTACAACCGACAGTTGTCTACCCTTGTCACGTGCTTTCTGCGACCCCTTCGGATGGCAGCATCCTCTAAAAAGCCCCCCATTACTCATGATGATGTTAACTCCATATTTTTAAATAGGTAAACTTATTTGTTTTCAAATATATCAGCCAATCATGAAATCAGTTAATGTTAAAAGAAGTTTAAATACCAGTCTTGTAACTGCATGTAGGCCTCTTCATAATTACATTCTAATGTTTGGTTTGAATCCTCCAAAGTGAAGTTACTTTACTTTTTATTTTTTTCAAACAAACAAATAAGTTTGTTATTTAGAGTAAATATAATGTTTTATTATCTATTGGTGTGGTGGGTTTTTTCCCCCATTAATTACTAATTGTAGTTATCTGAAATGAGTATATAGTTTGTTTACAATTTGAATAAAAGATCTAGACCTTGGTTCTTTTTGGTGAAACATTAACTTTTCTACTTTTTGGTTGTTTTATAGTTCAACAAACTGTTACTACCAATAAGAAATAAATATTTGCTTTTTAAATATCTATGATTTAATATGAAGCCCCAGTTATGGTATAATGTTTGTGTATCATTTTGTACTATGTTGGTTATAGAAATAAAGAAAAACGTTTGGTATTTTTATCTTAATAATAATGATTTTCTGTTTAACAAGATGATAACTTGTGCTTATTTTAGTTTTATACATATATTGAAATGCATATTATTGCCCGGGGCCTATCTTCTACACTCTTTAACCTCAAGTAACCAGATTTGGTATTCAAGTACATCTTGGGATAATGGAGTGTAAAGTACAAAAAGTAGGTCACTGTGCCCTATCCTATGGTTTGACCTTTATTCCCAACCTTTGAAAAAGATTTGCCAGGGCATATCTTCTATCGTATTTCACCTGGAGTAACCGGATTTAGTATGCAAGTACATATTGGGATGGGGAATGTCAGGTCAGAAAAGTAGGTCACCTTAGCCTATGGTTTGACCTTTCATCTCAACATTTGACAAAGTACATCTTGGACTGGTGGAGTGTCAAGGACAATACTTTGATCTTGACCTTGTCCTTTAAAAAAGTTTATCGAGGGGGGATCTTCTATAATATTTCACCTGGAGTAACCATATTTGGTTTGCATCTATGTCTTGGCTGGAGAAGTGCAGAGATCAAGAAGTAAATCATTGTGACCTATATCCTGAGATAAGTGTTCGGCCTGATAAATAAATAAATCATTACCGGTGGAGGACTATATGGATTGCCTTGCAAGACCCTTCCTTTTTTACATGGGAGAGTTGGGATTGGGTCAAATATTAATTATTATGTAGCTTATAATTACTGTACTAGTTTATATGGGAGAGTGGGGTTTAGGTCAAGTATTAATTATTATGTAGCTTATAATTACTGTACAAGTTTATATAGGAGAGTGGGGTTTAGGTCAAGTATTAATTATTATGTAGCTTATAATTACTGTACAAGTTTATATAGGAGAGTGGGGTTTAGGTCAAGTATTAATTATTATGTGGCTTATAATTACTGTACAAGTTTATATAGGAGAGTGGGGTTTAGGTCAAGTATTAATTATTATGTGGCTTATAATTACTGTACAAGTTTATATAGGAGAGTGGGGTTTAGGTCAAGTATTAATTATTATGTGGCTTATAATTACTGTACAAGTTTATATAGGAGAGTGGGGTTTAGGTCAAGTATTAATTATTATGTGGCTTATAATTACTGTACAAGTTTATATAGGAGAGTGGGGTTTAGGTCAAGTATTAATTATTATGTAGCCTATAATTACTGTACTAGTTTATATGGGAGAGTGGGGGTTAGGTCAAGTATTAAATAGTATGTAGCTTACACTGCTATACTAGTTGATATTAACTGTCAGACTGTTGTCGACTGTTACTAAATCAAGCTTTTCAGTAAAACTGTTTTTCGAAAAGGCAGAAACTGCACCATCTTACTAAAATACTGTGCCATTTTACATGTTGGTTTAACTGAAACAAACAAATAAACAATTAAAAAGGGTTGTGTTAGTTTGATATATCAAGAAAATATGAGTAAGCATTATCCGTGGTGAGCTTACCGGATATATTGAAGTTTTTTTTCTTTTTCTGTTTCAGTGAAACCTTGTTGTTTTGACATCAAATATTTTTGAAAGGATTGTGTGCAAGATTAGAGAACTGGCCAACTTTAGTGTTAGGTAAGTATTCGCCACACTTTGATAAGCCTACCTGGGGTAGTAGGTGTCTTCCCTTCCCAGCTTTGTTTTAAAGGGGACATATGTGATATATACTATGTATATATACCAGGAGAGTATAACTGTAAGGAGTTATCTCCCTTGACTTTATTACAGATGATCTATTCAGTGAGCTGCTACCTATATATGCTATGTGTGTAATAGAAGTATGTTGAGCTATCCCCCCTGACTTTATATCATATAGGTGACCTAATCAGTAAGCTATGACCTATCCTATGCATGTACCACAAGTATGTTAATGAGTTATTTTGGTTATTTGAAGTGACCAATTTGAAATGCTGCTATACCTATTCTATGTATATACATGTACCAGGAGTATGCGATGAGTTATCCACCCTGACTTTGTGTTACAGATGACCTATTTGATATGCTGCTACCAATGCTATGTATAATAACCAGGAGGTTGTGATGAGTTATCCCCCCTGACTTTGTGTTACAGGTGACCTATTTGATATGCTGCTACCAATGCTATATATAATAACCAGGAAGTTGTGATGAGTTATCCCCCCTGACTTTGTGTTACAGGTGACCTATTTGTTATGCTGCTACCAATGCTATGTATAATAACCAGGAGTTTGGGATGAGTTATCCCCCCTGACTTTGTGTTACAGGGGACCTATTTGATATGCTGCTACCAATGCTATGTATAATATTCAGGAGGTTGTGATCAGTTATCCCCCCTGACTTTGTGTTACAGGTGACCTATTTGATATGCTGCTACCAATGCTATGTATAATAACCAGGAGTTTAGGATGAGTTATCCCCCCTGACTTTGTGTTACAGGTGACCTATTTGATATGCTGCTACCTATGCTATATATAATAACCAGGTAGTTGTGATGAGTTATCCCCCCTGACTTTGTGTTACAGGTGACCTATTTGATATGCTGCTTCCTATGCTATGTATATACCAGGAGTATGTTAGGAACCACCATTACAGTCTGCAAGTTTTGGCAGAATACAAACAGAAACTAGAATTCAACAATCTGCTCAAACGCTATGAAGAGAAGCCGCTTTGTGAGAGCAGAACATTGGAAATATTTCTAACTTATCCTATGCACCAGGTATGTAGTATCCTCTTATAAAGCAGTATTTGTGCCATACTGTAATACTCATCCAGAATTTTATAATACTGCAAATTCATTAAAACTTTGAACAACATGAGCTCTTTGGGGACATTGGAGATGTCCTAGCTTCAGTTCTTACAAACATTCTCCTTTATTCTTGCCTGTCGGCAGTTTGAGTTAGCTCAGTTACACACCTAAGACTAACAAAAAAGCATGTGGGATGAGCTGGTTGATTGTTCTATATGACCAGGTCAACTCAACCTCGTGCCAGGGGTCGGCCATCGGGATTGGCTGGATTTAGTCTAGATTTTGACATAGTTTAACCCTCCAACCTTTCAGGCTTCATTACATACAATCCTTCTTATCCTTCATATCAGAGATACCAGGGTAAGAGAGGCATTAGCGTGATAATTAAAAAGGAAATGTATTCAGAATTTTCTTGAAGAAAATAATGATGAAAGCAATATCAAAAAAAAAAAATATCAAAGATATTTAACCTTTTACCCAAGTGAGTGAAATTTTTAAAATCTTAAAAAGGTAACATTTGTCTCAGAAAGAGCTGATTTCTTTACACCAATAATTAAACATACAAATTGTACGGGAGTTTTCTTTAAGCCTGTTACAACCTGAAATGCTGTTAGAGAAATAACCATCATGTCAAAAGAAAACTAGAGAATATAAAAAGTGTAAATAAAACTTTAAAATCAATGAATCTAGGGCAGAATATGGACCAGAAAGGAAACACTGAGAATAAGGCAAGGTGTTCTAGAGACAACATTTGCTGTGTAAATTCAAGTCAAATCCAAGTTAACTCATTCACCCCTGAAGACACATTTGAACTCTTCCAATTCAAAGGTTGGAATAGTTCATTATAAAATTTCAGGGTTGAATGAGTTAATGTCACTTTCTCCAAGAGAGAACTGAGGTACATTGTAGTGACAACAAACAAACAAGGGACACAAATGACCATAATAAAAAAACGTCGACCTTAACGGACAACGAATATCTTCTTAGGAGGTCATGATTGTGACCATAGAACACACCCATAGTATCATGACTTACATCAGGTATTGTAGCTTATATAAATGGTTGATATTCCTGTAGGAATACTATCTTACTTCATAACTTTTGAACTTAAATACTACAGACTGTGTGACAGTATAACCATATGCCCTTCCATATCTTTAAAGCCTGTTGCAGATAATCTATATACCTTTCCTTTGAATACAAATTTGTTTATTGAAATATTTTTAACAAATATTACAGTACAGACTAATTTGTTGTGAAACAAAAAAAAATGGGCCTAGAATTATGCTGGTGAAAAACTAAATCGGGACAATGGGTCATGTCACTTAACATTTATTTCAGTTTTCTGCTAATGTGTCTTACCTGTCACAGTAAGAAATGCATAGGAAATCAGCAAAAACACTGATTTTGGAAGAATGCATAACAAGTCTAATGTCAGTCAAATTACACATGTATGTCATGTCACCAGCATGTTGTTACCTCCCTTTAAACACATACAACAAAGATATTGATTAAACCTTCACATGATGTTATGGAATATAGAAGGGAAATAACTCCTCACACACTGGAATACTTTTTGCCAGGTGCTGCTCATATGAATGCTAATCTAATTCAAGGAAAGACAACTGTGTTACATTAATGATATGATTCTTGATTGAATTGGTGTTGACTGGTACTTAATATTAACATGAAAGCCTAATCCCTGTAAGGCCCTGTGATATTATTAGATCTTTGCTGATTCTTGTTACATTCGTTGGTACTGATGCTGACACTGGGTGCTCCTTACATCTCTTACTGTATTAACCAGTACACATGTTGACAAATATCTTAATACATACAGCCAGATAACCACATTGCATGTTGACAAATTTCTTAATACATACAGCCAGATAACCACATTACATGTTGACAAATATCTTAATACACACAGCCAGATAACCACATTACATGTTGACAAATATATTAATACATATACAGCCAGATAACCACATTACATGTTGACAAATACCTTAATACATACAGCCAGATAACCACATGACATGTTGACAAATATCTTAATACATACAGCTAGATAACCCCATTACATGTTGATATATATCTTAATACATACAGCCAGATACCCACATTACATGTTAATAAATATCTTAATACATACAGCCAGATAACCACATTACATGTTGATATATATCTTAATACATACAGCCAGATAACCACATTACATGTTAATAAATATCTTAATACATACAGCCAGACAACCACATTACATGTTGACTAATATCTTAATACATACAGCCAGATAACCACATTACATGTTGACACCTATCTTAATGCATATACAGCCAGATAACCACATTACATGTTGACAAATATCTTAATACCTACAGCCAGATAACCACATTACATGTTGAGAAATATCTTAATACCTACAGCCAGATAACCACATTACATGTTGAGAAATATCTTAATACCTACAGCCAGATAACCACATTACATGTTGACAAATACCTTAATACATACAGCCAGATAACCACATTACATGTTGATATATATCTTAATACATACAGCCAGATAACCACATTACATGTTTACAAATATCTTAATACATACAGCCAGATAACCACGTTACATGTTGATAAATATCTTAATACCTACAGCCAGATAACCACATTACATGTTGACAAATATCTTAATACCTACAGCCAGATAACCACACTCCATGTTGACATAGACATGTACATAAACATCTAGACTCCTTTTTTTGGCAAAATTTCCAACGCATAACCACATGCACTCATTGTTGACAAATACAAATCCAAACTCCATGTTGGCAAATATCCAATTACATTACAAACTCCATGTTGACAAATATCCAAATACATTCCAAACTCCAAGTTGACAAATTTCCAAATATGTTCCAAACTCCATGTTGACAAATACCCAAACACAAGTCCAAACTCCATGTTGACAAATACCCAAACACAAGTCCAAACTCCATGTTGACAAATATCCAAATACAAATACAAATTCCATATTGACAAATATCCAAATACACATACAAACTCCATGTTGACAAATATCCAAATACATTTCAAACTCCATGTTGACATAATACCCAAATACAAATACAAACTCCATGTTGACATAATACCCAAATACAAATACAAATTCCATGTTGACCTAATACCCAAATACAAATACAAATTCCATGTTGACAAATATCCAAATACAAGTACAAACTCCATGTTTACAAATATCCAAATGCAATCAAAACTCCATGTTGACATAATAATCATTTACAAATACAAACTCAATGTTAACAGATATCTCAATAAATAAGTCTGTGATGACAGATCACCTTAATACATCATATTTTATGTTGACAGATACCTCGATACATAATCACACTCCATGAGTTGCTGGCTCACACACCCCACGACCATGTTGAGAGACAGAGCCTGGAGTATGCCAAGAGCAAACTTGAGGAGCTATCACGGGTGAGTGAACAATGTCAGAGCTATCACGATTGATAGAAGAAAGTAGAATATCAACGTGGAGGGAAAAATGACTAGGTCATTATTAAAAGTGACATGCCTAAATGTTACACTTTAAAATATCAAAAAGCAAAACATTTTGGTTATAGGAAAACAATTTGTTCCTTTAATATAATTCTTAGCTACTCTCATGTTTATCATGGTTCAATGAATTTTCTAATTTAAAAAAGAAAAACAATACCATGGGGTCCTGAAACGGACCAAGGTAAAGGTCAAAGATTAACATAATGTACCTGCCTAAAGGACAAGCGAGCTTATGCCTTAGTGCTTCATCTCTGTCTGTTATCAACGTTTCCTTTGTAATGCTTCTTGTTGAGAACAGCTAGGCAGATTTTGACTGAATTAGGTCTGAATTATTGTTGGGCCTGGGCTACATAATGTTTTTCTAAACAGCGGTTATGGTCCTTCTGTGGAATAAATTGGGGCCTAAAGGGGAAATAAAAGGTAGATATTTCAAGTCTTACTGCTTCACTATGGGTGAAATGTACATTAAGATTTGGATCATCCGTGGTAAAATGAGACTTAAAAAATGGAAAGTGTGACCATTGTAAGTGAAATGGTCATACTCATGCATTATCCAAGGTTGACAAAATTGTTATCCTAAGTTGCAACCAAGAGTGAAAGTTATTGAAATGCTGTATAGAGTATAAGGCTTTAAATTGTAGGTCTCATCTAAGTGTGTGTTTAGATACCATTACTAAGAGTGTTTTCGGTATATATGAGTATCTAGTTGATTGTGGTGTTACACTGTACACACAGCACGGGTAAGTTTATAAGACGGTATATGAGTATCTAGTTGATTGTGGTGTTACACTGTACACACAGCACGGGTAAGTTTATAAGACGGTATATGAGTATCTAGTTGATTGTGGTGTTACACTGTACACACAGCACGGGTAAGTTTATAAGACGGTATATGAGTATCTAGTTGATTGTGGTGTTACACTGTACACCCAGCACGGGTAATTTTATAAGACGGTATATGAGTATCTAGTTGATTGTGGTGTTACACTGTACACCCAGCACGGGTAATTTTATAAGACGGTATATGAGTATCTAGTTGATTGTGGTGTTACACTGTACACCCAGCACGGGTAATTTTATAAGACGGTATATGAGTATCTAGTTGATTGTGGTGTTACACTGTACACCCAGCACGGGTAATTTTATAAGACGGTATATGAGTATCTAGTTGATTGTGGTGTTACACTGTACACCCAGCACGGGTAATTTTATAAGACGGTATATGAGTATCTAGTTGATTGTGGTGTTACACTGTACACCCAGCACGGGTAATTTTATAAGACGGTATATGAGTATCTAGTTGATTGTGGTGTTACACTGTACACCCAGCACGGGTAATTTTATAAGACGGTATATGAGTATCTAGTTGATTGTGGTGTTACACTGTACACCCAGCACGGGTAATTTTATAAGACGGTATATGAGTATCTAGTTGATTGTGGTGTTACACTGTACACCCAGCACGGGTAATTTTATAAGACGGTATATGAGTATCTAGTTGATTGTGGTGTTACACTGTACACCCAGCACGGGTAATTTTATAAGACGGTATATGAGTATCTAGTTGATTGTGGTGTTACACTGTACACCCAGCACGGGTAATTTTATAAGACGGTATATGAGTATCTAGTTGATTGTGGTGTTACACTGTACACCCAGCACGGGTAATTTTATAAGACGGTATATGAGTATCTAGTTGATTGTGGTGTTACACTGTACACCCAGCACGGGTAAGTTTATAAGACGGTATATGAGTATCTAGTTGATTGTGGTGTTACACTGTACACCCAGCACGGGTAAGTTTATAAGACGGTATATGAGTATCTAGTTGATTGTGGTGTTACACTGTACACCCAGCACGGGTAAGTTTATAAGACGGTATATGAGTATCTAGTTGATTGTGGTGTTACACTGTACACCCAGCACGGGTAAGTTTATAAGACGGTATATGAGTATCTAGTTGATTGTGGTGTTACACTGTACACCCAGCACGGGTAAGTTTATAAGACGGTATATGAGTATCTAGTTGATTGTGGTGTTACACTGTACACCCAGCACGGGTAAGTTTATAAGACGGTATATGAGTATCTAGTTGATTGTGGTGTTACACTGTACACCCAGTACGGGTAAGTTTATAAGACAGTATATGAGTATCTAGTTGATTGTGGTGTTACACTGTACACCCAGCACGGGTAAGTTTATAAGACAGTATATGAGTATCTAGTTGATTGTGGTGTTACACTGTACACCCAGTACGGGTAATTTTAGGACAGATTTGTGGAATAATTGACATTTCACACTAAACACCTGCTGTTTGTAGTATCTCCTCACCGTTTCATTTCCCATAGGTTCTGAAATACAAACATGTAAAATGATATTGTGTGATGGTGTATCAATAAAAGGGAAGTATTGATTGGTCAGATCTGATGACCGCCTAGCAATCAGACCACGGCTTCATCTGACAGCACTGCTCAGCCAGGGTTTTAAACATTACAGCATGTCCACTATAAAGCCAGCAGTTTCTAGGTTTGGATAGCTTGTCCTGGGCAGTGATGTTGTGGGTTTCTCTGTAACAGCAGTACACGTGGCTGGACAGGTAATTCTGTATATTATTACAGAGCATGGTCATTGAAAGTGTTGTTTCCCCAGACAGGTGAAAATGTGGCAGGTATTGTGTAATATCACGTCACCACTGATTGTAGATGACCTTCGGTCAGTGTAATTGGATTTTCCACATTGGGAGGAAGCTGCTGTTCATTAGCAGATGAATTGCGAGTAATGTATTGTCTGTAATGTATTGTCTGTATATATGATGTACACTTGATCTGTGAAAATACTGACAGCATTTTACTTACATATCATATAAGTGTCATACAGATATGTAGTGCAGTGCATAATTATAACAGGTTATATAAAATGGTATTGTAATAACAGAGTGTAAAATATGGAGTGTAGTTACATATTGTATAATATGGAGTCGTAATTACAGAGTGTAGAATATTGAGTTGTTATTACAGAATGTATAATATGGAGTTGTTATTGTAGTGAAGAATATGGAGCCATAATTACAGAATGTATAATATGGAGTTGTTATTACAGAGTGTATAACATGTTGTCATAATTACAGAGTGTATAATATGTTGTCATAATTACAGAGTGTATAATATGGAGTTGTTATTACAGAATGTATAATATGTTGTCATACTTACAGAGTGTATAGTATGGAGTCGTAATTACAGAATGTATAATATGGAGTTGTTATTACAGAGTGTATAATATGGAGTTGTTATTACAGAGTGTATAATATGTTGTCATAATTACAGAGTGTATAGTATGGAGTCGTAATTACAGAATGTATAATATAGAGACATAATTACAGAGTTTAATATGGTGATGTAGTTACAGATTATATAATACCATGATGTAGTTGTCGGTTATATAATACAGTTTTGTTATTACTGATGTTATAATACTACATTGTTGTAATTACAGATTATTTAATACAATATCATAATTACAGATTATATAATACAATATCATAATTACAGATTAAATAATACAATATCATAATTACAGATTATATCATACAATATCATTTTACAGATTATATCATACAATATCATGATTACAGATTATATAATACAATATCATAATTACAGATTATATAATACAATGCCGTAATTACAGTTTATATAATACAGTATCATAATTATGGATTATATAATGGGTTTTTTACAGATGATATAATATGATGTTGTTATTACAGTTTATATAATACAATGTTGTTATCACAGATTATATAATACAATGTTGTTATCACAGATTATATAATACAATGTTGTTATTACAGATTATATAATACAATGTGGTTAATACAGATTATATAATACAATGTTATTTTCATGGATTATATAATACAATGTTGTTATTGCAGATTATATAATACAATTTTATTTTCATGGATTATATAATACAATGCTGTATCTTCAGATTATATAATGGGTTTTTTACAGATGATATAATATGATGTTGTTATTACAGTTTATAGAATACAATGTTGTTATCACAGATTATATAATACAATGTTGTTATTACAGATTATATAATACAATTTTATTTTCATGGATTATATAATACAATGTTGTATCTATGGATTATATAGTACAATATTGTAATTACAGATTATATAACACAATGTTGTTATCACAGATTTTACAATACAATGTTGTTATCACAGATTATATTATACAATGTTGTTATCACAGATTATATTATACAATGTTGTTATCACAGATTATATAATACAATGTGGTTAATACAGATTATATAATACAATGTTGTTATTACAGATTATGCACGATGAAGTAAGCGAGACAGAAAACATCAGGAAGAACCTGTCCATTGAGCGTATGATCGTGGAAGGTTGTGACATACTCCTAGACGTCAATCAGACATTTGTCCGCCAAGGTAAGAGAACTTTACTTCTTGATCATTTAATAGATTGTACAGGTGAGACACATGTTTACATTAAGTTAACTATAGAGATGACAGGTGAGACACATGTTTACATTAAGTTAACTATAGAGACGACAGGTGAGTCACATGCTTACATTAAGTCAACTATAGAGATGACAGGAGAGACACATGTTTACATTAAGTTAACTATAGAGATGACAGGTGAGACACATGTTTACATTAAGTTAACTATAGAGACGACAGGTGGGACACATGTTTACATTAAGTTAACTATAGAGAAGACAGGTGAGTCACATGCTTACATTAAGTTAACTATCGATAAGACAGGTGAGACACATGTTTACATTAAGTTAACTACAGAGAAGACAGGAGAGACACATGTTTACATAAAGTTAACTATAGAGACGACAGGTGGGACACATGTTTACATAAAGTCAACTATAGGAAAGATAGTTGAGACACATGCTTACATTAAATTAACTATAGAGATGACAGGTGGGACACATGTTTACATTTAGTTAACTATAGAGATGACAGGTGGGACACATGTTTACACTAAGTTAACTATAGAGAAGACAGTTGAGACACATGTTTACATTAAGTTAACTATAGATAAGACAGGTGAGACACATGTTTACATAAAGTCAACTATAGGAAAGACAGGTGAGACACATGCTTACATTAAGTTAACTATAGAGAAGACAGGTGAGACACATGTTTACATTACCTTAACTATAGATAAGACAGGTGAGACACATGTTTACATAAAGTTAACTATAGATAAGACAGGTGAGACACATGTTTACATAAAGTTAACTATAGATAAGAGAGGTGGGACACATGTTTACATAAAGTCAACTATAGGAAAGACAGGTGAGACACATGCTTACATTAAGTTAACTATAGAGAAGACAGGTGAGACACATGTTTACATTACGTTAACTATTGAAAAGATAGGTGGGACACATGTTTACATAAAGTTAACTATAGATAAGACAGGTGGGACACATGTTTACATAAAGTCAACTATAGGAAAGATAGTTGAGACACATGCTTACATTAAGTTAACTATAGATAAGACAGGTGAGACACATGTTTACATAAAGTAAACCTGTGACTAACCCTTGTTTCAAGTACTGTGTGTTTTAGTGGCAAAGTGATACCCGATTGTAATTAGTGTTGTCTTCGGGGGCAATGACTTAGGAAAAGGAGGGAGGAAAGTAAAAAGGAGGGAGGAATGTAATTGAACTGGACTGCATTGATTGGTGGTGACCAAGTTGCTCAGTTAGACAGATCGAGCTTCCATCTAGCTTGGACAACGTGGGTCAGATCCTGATCTTGCTTTTTTTCTTACATGTAACAAGACCCTACATTGTCTTAATCATATAAAAGATGGACAGGTGGCACATAAGTATGAAAGTATTTTTCTATACTCAAAGTGCTAATAACCATGTCACAACATTTAAGACCGACTGGTTTCTTTCTCAAGCTATGACTGTGTTGTACGTGATACAACGAAGGTAAAGAAATTGTAAACTTTCAGTAAGTCACCTAGGTATATACACAGTATACTCCACAAGCTGGGGGTACAGAACTAATCACATACTGATAAGTGTTATATACACAGTATACCCCACAAGCTGGGGGTACGGGACTAATCACGTACTGATAAGTGTTATATACACAGTATACTCCACAAGCTGAGGGTACAGGACTAATCACATACTGATAAGTGTTATATACACAGTATACTCCACAAGCTGGGGGTACAGGACTAATCACGTACTTATAAGTGTTATATACACAGTATACTCCACAAGCTGGGGGTACGGGACTAATCACGTACTGATAAGTGTTATATACACAGTATACTCCACAAGCTGGGGGTACGGGACTAATCACGTACTGATAAGTGTTATATACACAGTATACTCCACAAGCTGGGGGTACGGGACTAATCACGTACTGATAAGTGTTATATACACAGTATACTCCACAAGCTGGGGGTACGGGACTAATCACGTACTGATAAGTGTTATATACACAGTATACTCCACAAGCTGGGGGTACGGGACTAATCACGTACTGATAAGTGTTATATACACAGTATACTCCACAAGCTGGGGGTACGGGACTAATCACGTACTGATAAGTGTTATATACACAGTATACTCCACAAGCTGGGGGTACGGGACTAATCACGTACTGATAAGTGTTATATACACAGTATACTCCACAAGCTGGGGGTACGGGACTAATCACGTACTGATAAGTGTTATATACACAGTATACTCCACAAGCTGGGGGTACGGGACTAATCACGTACTGATAAGTGTTATATACACAGTATACTCCACAAGCTGGGGGTACGGGACTAATCACGTACTGATAAGTGTTATATACACAGTATACTCCACAAGCTGGGGGTACGGGACTAATCACGTACTGATAAGTGTTATATACACAGTATACTCCACAAGCTGGGGGTACGGGACTAATCACGTACTGATAAGTGTTATATACACAGTATACTCCACAAGCTGGGGGTACGGGACTAATCACGTACTGATAAGTGTTATATACACAGTATACTCCACAAGCTGGGGGTACGGGACTAATCACGTACTGATAAGTGTTATATACACAGTATACTCCACAAGCTGGGGGTACGGGACTAATCACGTACTGATAAGTGTTATATACACAGTATACTCCACAAGCTGGGGGTACGGGACTAATCACGTACTGATAAGTGTTATATACACAGTATACTCCACAAGCTGGGGGTACGGGACTAATCACGTACTGATAAGTGTTATATACACAGTATACTCCACAAGCTGGGGGTACGGGACTAATCACGTACTGATAAGTGTTATATACACAGTATACTCCACAAGCTGGGGGTACGGGACTAATCACGTACTGATAAGTGTTATATACACAGTATACTCCACAAGCTGGGGGTACGGGACTAATCACGTACTGATAAGTGTTATATACACAGTATACTCCACAAGCTGGGGGTACGGGACTAATCACGTACTGATAAGTGTTATATACACAGTATACTCCACAAGCTGGGGGTACGGGACTAATCACGTACTGATAAGTGTTATATACACAGTATACTCCACAAGCTGGGGGTACGGGACTAATCACGTACTGATAAGTGTTATATACACAGTATACTCCACAAGCTGGGGGTACGGGACTAATCACGTACTGATAAGTGTTATATACACAGTATACTCCACAAGCTGGGGGTACGGGACTAATCACGTACTGATAAGTGTTATATACACAGTATACTCCACAAGCTGGGGGTACGGGACTAATCACGTACTGATAAGTGTTATATACACAGTATACTCCACAAGCTGGGGGTACGGGACTAATCACGTACTGATAAGTGTTATATACACAGTATACTCCACAAGCTGGGGGTACGGGACTAATCACGTACTGATAAGTGTTATATACACAGTATACTCCACAAGCTGGGGGTACGGGACTAATCACGTACTGATAAGTGTTATATACACAGTATACTCCACAAGCTGGGGGTACGGGACTAATCACGTACTGATAAGTGTTATATACACAGTATACTCCACAAGCTGGGGGTACGGGACTAATCACGTACTGATAAGTGTTATATACACAGTATACTCCACAAGCTGGGGGTACGGGACTAATCACGTACTGATAAGTGTTATATACACAGTATACTCCACAAGCTGGGGGTACGGGACTAATCACGTACTGATAAGTGTTATATACACAGTATACTCCACAAGCTGGGGGTACGGGACTAATCACGTACTGATAAGTGTTATATACACAGTATACTCCACAAGCTGGGGGTACGGGACTAATCACGTACTGATAAGTGTTATATACACAGTATACTCCACAAGCTGGGGGTACGGGACTAATCACGTACTGATAAGTGTTATATACACAGTATACTCCACAAGCTGGGGGTACGGGACTAATCACGTACTGATAAGTGTTATATACACAGTATACTCCACAAGCTGGGGGTACGGGACTAATCACGTACTGATAAGTGTTATATACACAGTATACTCCACAAGCTGGGGGTACGGGACTAATCACGTACTGATAAGTGTTATATACACAGTATACTCCACAAGCTGGGGGTACGGGACTAATCACGTACTGATAAGTGTTATATACACAGTATACTCCACAAGCTGGGGGTACGGGACTAATCACGTACTGATAAGTGTTATATACACAGTATACTCCACAAGCTGGGGGTACGGGACTAATCACGTACTGATAAGTGTTATATACACAGTATACTCCACAAGCTGGGGGTACGGGACTAATCACGTACTGATAAGTGTTATATACACAGTATACTCCACAAGCTGGGGGTACGGGACTAATCACGTACTGATAAGTGTTATATACACAGTATACTCCACAAGCTGGGGGTACGGGACTAATCACGTACTGATAAGTGTTATATACACAGTATACTCCACAAGCTGGGGGTACGGGACTAATCACGTACTGATAAGTGTTATATACACAGTATACTCCACAAGCTGGGGGTACGGGACTAATCACGTACTGATAAGTGTTATATACACAGTATACTCCACAAGCTGGGGGTACGGGACTAATCACGTACTGATAAGTGTTATATACACAGTATACTCCACAAGCTGGGGGTACGGGACTAATCACGTACTGATAAGTGTTATATACACAGTATACTCCACAAGCTGGGGGTACGGGACTAATCACGTACTGATAAGTGTTATATACACAGTATACTCCACAAGCTGGGGGTACGGGACTAATCACGTACTGATAAGTGTTATATACACAGTATACTCCACAAGCTGGGGGTACGGGACTAATCACGTACTGATAAGTGTTATATACACAGTATACTCCACAAGCTGGGGGTACGGGACTAATCACGTACTGATAAGTGTTATATACACAGTATA